TCTCTCTCTCTCTCTCTCTCTCTCTCTCTCTCTCTCTCTCTCTCTTTATTATTTTAAGGAAGGGCCTACAGGTTGTTCAGGGTCTCACTACTAGATTGGACTCATAGTGATCTGCCTGTTTACAGCGTCCCAAGAACTGGGATTACAGGTGTGCACCACCATGCCTAATCTCAATTGCCTTCTCAGGGCATCCTGGGAGTAGGGCCAGCACGGCAGGTCCGGGGATCGAACCCCTAGCCCCTGCACCAGCTTGCAGGCATTTTAATCTATTGAGCCATTTGGCCGATCCTGACCCTGCTATTTCTTTTCCAGACAGGTTTGTGTAAATTTGATGCCACTTATCTTACTAGATGATCATGCACAAGCTTTCATTTTTGTCATCTACTTAATTCAAATCATCCATCTGTATGCACCATTTGTGTTTTTAGATACAACTTTGTGAGGAGAGTTAGGGACAAATACAGTTAAGATCGTTGTGTTTATGGAAACAAACAAAATTCATAAAAAAGGAGAATTAGCCAGGCATGATGGCACGTGCCTGTAAGCTCAGCACTTGGGAGGCACAGGCAGTAGGATGGCTACTAGTTTGAGGCCAGCTTGGTCTATGTAGTTAGTAATAATTTTCAAGGTCAGCTTGGCTTTGATAGTGAGAACAGGCCTCAGGAAACAGAAACAAAACAAACATGAAAATAAAAAGGAGAATTGCAGTGAGATTGAGGAAATCATCTAGTCGGCCAACTTATACACTGTTGGAGGAGAGAAGGGATGGACAGTCTCTACTGAAGCATGTCTCAGCCAAATGCATTTTGGAAAAGGGATTTGGAGACTGTGCAATTGTTTAAATTATGTTATATAATTTCAAAATTTGAGATTACTGAGAGATTAATGCATTACATATTTAAAATTCTGGTGCATTTTGGAAAAACAGTTCATCTATTTTATTCATTTCCCTATAATACTGTGAAATAAGTCATCATTTCAACACAGAAGTTATTAATATTTCACAATATCTTATCTAATAGAGAAACCAGTATTCTGTGTAACAACTGATTGATCAAAATAGTTAACAGAATCAAAGAGTTAACAAAAAAGAAGATATAACTAAGAAATCAAATTGGAATGTTTTAAATATGCAAAACTTGTATTTAGATGTCTGTTGAAGTTTTATTTTTTGTTTAATTTAATTTTGAAACATAAAAGTAAAGCAAGCACAAAAATCAGAAACAAAGACAGAAACAGGGCAACGTACAATAGTACATATGTTACAGATTTTCAAACCAATAATAGTTGATTAACAATGGTTGAGATATTATGTAATTTTATCGTCAAATCTACTGTGCAGATTAACAGATATATTTATGTAAGATTGGACATATGGTTGCATATTACCTTTTGCTTTCAGGAAACCTTAATATTTTGTTTTTGTTTCTCCTTTTCTTAACCTTCTTAAAAATTTTGTTTTAAAGAGAGTATAGTAATAATTGATATGACATTAAGAATGGTACACATTTAGAAGACCAAGACGACAGGTATTCAAGCATGTTTTAGTATTACACATTGCTGTCCTTGATGTATTTGCTTAGATTACAGATATCAGCATACAGAGTTAATCAAGGTGAAAATTCTACACATTAATGCTGTTTTCAAAAAACAGATGAAGATTTTTAGTACAATCACCTCAGCCATCCTGGATATATACATTCATGTTTTTCCCCTAATTTTTTTCTTCTTTTCTCCTTTCTCTCCTCTTCATTGTTTAATCCTTAAGTTCCATTTCTATTTTACTATATCTGTTATACCTTTCAGGTTTCATTTCTTCTCTCAGGTTCTTACACTAGGCAGACATTAGAATATTTACTCATGTGGGTCTGATTTATTTCACTTATGAGCATAGCCTCTAGTTGTAGCCACTTACCTATGAAGGCTTCAAGTTTGTCTTTCTTTATAGCTGAGTAATACTCCATTGTATAAAAATACCCTTCACTCCAGCTATTGCCTTTCTGGGTATTTTCCCAGAAGACTGAAAACATCATACCACAATGATATATGTGCACCCATGTTTATAGCAGCACTATTTGTCATAGCCAAATCTTGGAAGCAATCAAAATGCCCATCACCTGAAGAATGGATTGTTTTATTTTTAAAAGTAGCATAATTCTAAATGAAACTGAAATGTGCAATATTGAAACAATACTAAAGAGAGTACTATTTTTCATAATGAACCTTAAAAGCTTGAAGTAATAGGAATGCTAATCACAATGATTTGATCATTATTATGCAGTGAATACGTGTATCAAAATACCACCTTGTGCGCACCACAAATTTGAACAATTATATGTCAATTAAAATTAAAGCTTAAGGCTGAGAGAGAGCTCAGCGACTTAAGCTCCTGCCTGGCAAGTTTAAGGTCCTGAGTTTGATTCCCGCTACCAAAAAAAAGTAAAGCTTAATAATAATGAACTGAGTAAACCTTGAGAATTATTATGCTTTTTTTCAAAAACACTCTAGATGTTTGCCAAATTCTATATGAGTGACTTCAGTTGAGAAATGTGTGTATTATGTAATAGTAATGAAGTCTGTTTTTTCTTCACAGAGTATGAAAAGTTTAACTTATATGATTGTGCAAAGCCAAAAGAAGCAAATACTTCAATTTGCTTAGAATGGATTGGACCCATTAATACAGCTCATAAATGTATGAAAGAATTTACATACAAATTTACATGTGGTAAGGATGTGTCATTCATTCATTACAGATTTTCTGTGGCAGAAATTGTTTTAGATGATATCTTTTATGCTTTTTCTCCTTCCTTCTTTTCTTCCTTTTCTTGGTTTCTGGTATGTTTGAAGTCAAATAATTATTGCTGAAGCCACTCAAACAAATTCACAAATTTGAAAATAAAATACTGAAATAGTAAAAGATTTTTTTGAAGATTGTTATACTCCCAGCATTGTTGAAGAGATGAGAGAAAGATGTCCAAGGGTGTAAAGGTGCTATGCTCTATGTGAGAGATAAAGCAAATATAAGATGATTAGTTCAAAAGTTTATGCTATCAGACTCCTGTCAAGAGAATTCATGCAGTTTTATGTATACTTAGGTAATAGGTAAAGAGCAAGTGCTCATAGGAATTAATTTGGTTGTGGATTGAGATGACACTGTTTTTTCAGCTTATTGGAATTTAATGGAATAGCCTCTCCTGTCCTCAGCATTAAGCTAGGTGTATTTGGCACACCAGACAAACAAGTATGTATTGCACACATGTGCAAATGTACATGCCTACATACATGATGAAATGTGGCTTTGGCCGTGATCATCATGCTAAGGAGCTGTGTTGCAAGCAGCAGAAGGAGAGCAAGAACAAGCGTACGGTGGGCTGATGATAACAGTGGTCTGTGTAGAAAATCTCTTTGGGCAAGGCTCCCTGTGAGTCTCTTTTCCCATTACTGTGACCAGATGCAGACATCTAAAATGTAAGGAGGAGAGCTTTATTTTGACTCTTACTTTCTGAGGGCTTAGTCCCTGGCTGATTGGTTTTAAAGTAGAAAGAGCATGGTCAAAGGGCAAGGCTTAGAAAAAAGCTTCTCAACTTGCGGAAGGCAGGAAGCAGGGTAGGAAGACCTGAGGTGCGCACACTCTCGGTGACCTGCCCCCTTCTAGCCGGCCCCATCTGCCAAGAGCGTATTTAGCTATGAACTCATCCGTGGCTAAGGAACTGGTGGGCGTAGTGCCTGCAATCCAGTTACCTTCTGAACGAGTGAGATTTTGGGGGTCACTTTAGATGTGCCCGTAATAGGCTACCAAGGGGCAATCTAAGTTTTTGACCACAGAATCATAAACTAAGTAAGACCTCATTCTGTCAGTTAGTCACTCTTATATTACACCTATTAAATATTTATTTTGAAAATTGATCATAGCAAAAGCATTTTAAAGCTTTTTGACATTATTTACCACTCGCATTTTTAATGTAATGAGTATTACATATAATGTATAATATATTTACATATTATAGAAATAAGAAAAGAAGTAAATTTATGTTTCTATATAAATAAGAAAAGACATTTGTACGTTAATATAGCATATGTAATTTTTTTCTTCAGAAATTCCTTTACGTAATTCAACATCTACTGATAAACGCATTGAAGTACATGATCTTCAACCCAAAACAAAGTATCAATGTACTTCAGAAGTATTCTATGATGGCCATAAGTACAGAAAGGAAACTGAATCTATTGAAACAGATGTTGGTGGTGAGCATATTATTTACATTTATAAGTAAAACTCTATAGCCTTTCATATTCTTTTAACTTTGAGGAACTACATAAAATGGTGGAACTTTAGAAAACAAATTTTAAATTGAGTTTAAAAATAAATTACTCAAGGCAAAAGCTTAAGACAATATTTTTTGTTATTGTTCAAATTATAGTCTGTTATATTTTATAGAAATAGGACCAAAAACATAAAATGCTTTTTTTCCTTTATCATTTTATTTATGCTTCCTTTTATAATACGCTCCTCTTTTCGTATTTTTGCAACTTCTACTTTATCAGATCCTGAATCTTATAGGAGCAAAACAAACAAAAGAAACTCATAAAGCAAAGTGGTACATCTAAGTATCCATGGCAAAATAGTAATTACTGTTTTAAAATTGTCATCAGTGCAATAACATGACAATAATACAATGTGATATTGTAGCAGAAATTACAGAAATTCATAGCATCTGGGACAATGGAAGAGAGAAAAATATTTAAAGGTGTTAAAATTCCACTATGATTTAAAAATATGAAGATTCTAATTAACATTTGCTAAAAAATGAGTTAAGCATATATTTGACAATTTATTAATACTACTACAAAAATAAAAAGAAATGGCTTTGTATGCAAGTAGTATGTAGATAAAGCTTTTCATTTATCAGATATTTAACATATTCTGAGGGCTAAAATATTTAAGCTATATGCCAACTTTATATTTGACATTTTGAAGGACAGCCAACTCTTTTTGTAAAGTGGACAGTCCACCTTCTGTTCTCCCCAGCAATATGTGGATGTCCAGTCACTTCACATTTTGATCATCACTTGTTGAAACTATCCTTTGTATTTCAGCTGTATTTGTAGATGTGAAGTTGTGGATCATTGTTTTGAATTTCATTTTCTCATAATAGTGGCATTGAGTGTGATGTTGCAGGTTTTTCAGTCATTTATATATCATTTATCCAATCATATCTTTTGACTGCTTAAAATGATTTTTTTTTTAGCTTGTGAGGCTTTATATGTTTTAGACACATGTCCTTTGTTACATATATAATTTGACAGTATCTTATTCTGTGAATAGACATTTTGCTTTTCTTGATACTTTCTGAAGTATGAAAGTTTTTCATTTTGATTAAGTTCATCTTTCCTACTTGGATTTTGTTGTTGTTGTTTCTACTCCTGCTATATATAAAAATGCCATATACAAGTCTAGGACTTGGAAGATTTATCCTTATTCTTAACTAAGAATTTCAGGGCTTTAGGCTTTGAATTTAACTTTGTAATCTATTGTACATAAATTTAGCTCTGTCATACTTTCCTAGAGTGTAAGGTAATTGTTCAATTTCTTTTTTCCATCTGATTATCCAGTTGTACTAACAGAGGACATGAACTGTTCTAGTGAAAACACTGTTTGTTCTATTGAAGCATCATAACCACTCATCAAAAATTAGTTGACCAGAGTGATGAGTTTGTTTTTTTTAGTTCTATTCTATTGATTTATAGTCCTATCTTTAATCAGTACTAGACCATTTGTTACTGTTGACTTTTAGTAAGTTGTGAAATTGAAAAATGTGTCATTCACATTCAGCCTTTTTCCTTAAAATTATTGGGAATAGTCAGGAGCCCTACAAAGCCTACATGAGCTGTGGGATCAACTTGTCAGTTTCTGTAAAGATTCCCACTGGAATTTTGACTGAAATTACAATGAACCTGGAGACAACTTTGTGGAAAATGATTATTTAACAATGTTAGTCTTCCAACCCATAAACATAGAATGTTTTTCTATTAATTTAGGTCATGCTTAGTTTCTATTAAAAAATGGTTGTAGGGCCAGCCAGGTAGCTCAGCAGATTAAAACACTTGCTTAGGTGCCAAAGGGGTCAGGAGTTTGATCCATGGCCTACTGCTGGCCCTGCCCCTGGGTAGTGCTGAGACTGTGATTGAGACTGGATGTGGTGGCACTTGCCTGTAATCCCAGCATTGGGAAGCTAAAAACAGAAGGATCACTACAAATCTGATATGTGTAGTGAGACTCTGTAGCCCCTGTACTAAATACATAAAAAAAGGCTGTAGTTTTCAGATCTAACATTTGTACTGTCAGATTCACTCCTAATTTTCCCATTCCTACTTACAATGTTACTATGTTTTCAATTTCATTTTCAGATCAGACTTTAGTAAGATATAGAAATATAGTTTTTGATTTTTCTGTGTTTATCTACAATCTGGTTCTTTGTAGAAGTGATTTATTAATTACAATACTTCAGAATTTATGAGAGCATAGCAAGGTGATTCTAAATTATTTATGGAAGTGAAAACTCAGGACTAATGAGATATGAAAATTCAGGTCTTCCCATAAAGTGCCAAGATAATGTGAGCACTAAACAAATAAAACTACATGAGAATCTGCCATAAGCATAAGAAGTTTAGTATTCTGATATTAAGTGTAAAAATTTTTATAATTTTGACAAATCACTGTAGTGAAATAGAAATAGTAGCTAATTTTTATATGTGATTAAAGTACAAAAGTACTTCCATAAGAGAGTGGGATAATCATTTCGGCAAATAACACATTATTTGTTTTATAGAAAAACACAAACATGGGTCTTTACAACAGATACCATTTTTTTTTGGAAAATGGTTTGTAGATCTAAAAGCTAAAAGTATAAAATATTTAGTCAAAATTTAGAAAGATATCTTTGCAAGTTTAGCCAAAACTTTCATGGAACAGAAAAAGCAAAAATTTTTAAAAATTGCTAAGTTGCACTAAATATGAATCAAATATTTCTCTCCTATGAATGAAGTGATTGAGGGAAATAGCCCATAAATTGTGAAAAAATACCTATAATTTACTTTTTTAAACAAGGGACAATTTTCCACAATGATCAGAGAGATATTCAAGATACAAAATAAAGAATGAAATACCCTAGTTGAAAGTGGACAAACATTTTGAACATGCATTTCACAAACAAAAATATACAAATGACTAATACACACATTAAAAGACATGCAAAATCATTAGTCATCTGGGAAATTCAAATCAAGGTAATATGATGAGATGATATCATACATCCACTGAAATGGTAAAATTAAAAACTAACAATACTAAGTTCTGGTTGAGAATGAGAGGTAAAAATCCAGCAATTGCACTCCAGATATTGCCAGAGAAAAATTATTCACAAGACAATGTAAATTCATTTACCATAGTCCCAAACCTGGAAACAATTCACATATCCTCCAACTTTTGAACAAAGACAATACATGGCTTACCTTGTAATAAAACATTACTTGTGTTTGCCAGCTTTCCACTACTGTAATGAAATCTTAGATTATAATCTTATAATTAACCTATAAATAGATAAAATTTATTCAGATCGTGGTTCTAGAAGTTGCAATCCAAGACTGGACAGCCGTATAGCTTCGGCCTCTGGTGCAACACTAGCTACCAGTTGTAGAGAACACATCATTGAGCAAATTACCGACCTAGAGAATCATAAAGAAAAAGAGGAAGAACCTGATGTCCCTCAGTCATGTTCCAATGCATGTCCCCAGTGACCCAGGCATCTTTCAGAGAGCAGCATTTCTAAAGGTTTCAGTATCTCCTGGCAACGTCACCTTGGAGACCAAGGCTTTTAGCATGTGGACCTGGGGAGAGAGTCAATATTCAAACCATAACACTATCAATTAATAAACTAGAAATAGTTACCTATAGGGGCAACAGTACGAATGTATCTCTAAAATGTTATATTAAAAATAGTATACCGGATGTAAATCTTAGCTTAGTTTTGTTTACATGGAATGATAGAAAGTACATGTAATCTCTGGTAACAACAGAAAGTGTATCTGAAAATGTGTGGGGTTGGGTGGACCGCAAAGCGGCACAGAAACACTTTTGAAGTGACAGAAATGTCCTCTGTCTTGACAGTGGTGGTGGTCATGTGGGTGTGCACATCCTTCATAACTCACTAAACCACACTTCAAGTGGGGCGTCTAAATGTGAACTATGTCTCAAAATTTTGTAGAACATTTATGACATCCATCGTACAAGTTTTTCTAATGACTACTAAATTTTTCAGTGCTATAAATGTGAAATTTGGGGCACAGTAACAACTAGAATTCCCCACATTTCTGAAAAATAACATATACTAGAAGAAGAGGATATTCTCAGTAATCTCCTCAGGAGTGCTCGAGTTCCTCATGCCACTCAAGAGCGACGTTTACTTGACTCAAGTTGTTTATTCTAAAGCAAATTTAATAAGATAAATACGTTTAATAAGGACATTTATTTAAATTTTCTTATTAATGTATCATTAGTGAAAATATGGCTTTTAGTAGTGTGTGTTTAGGAAGGCTACTGTCACCATGCTTGGGATTTTTAATTTAATATATTCTTATTCTTTTAACAGTTCCAGAAAAGCCTCGGGATCTTTCTTGTGATCTTACAGATAAAAATGAAGTAAAAATCAGCTGGGCTCCCCAGCCAAATTCATCTGGATTTTATTTTGCATATTGGGCTAACTCAGGTAATCTCTATAGAATTTCATTCCATGTCTGGAAAAAGAAATGGAGAAACTGAAAATAGTGGAAGTGTAGACTGAACCAGGGAGACATACTCTTTCGGCATGAATGCTCTGTGGGGGCAGCCTCTTTGCCTTGATTTTAGAGCTGCTTCCCTTCATGGAGGGCTTTCTAGCCCTAGATATAAAAAATCCCAGAACATCTCTCAGATTTTTTGATGCTTTGCAGTGCAGAACCTAATGAAAGAAAGTGTCTGACAGATAATAATTTTTTCCTATCTTCCAAATGTTACTTAATGATTTTCTCTGTTTTGAAATTATGATTAAAGCCACCAAAGAAAAGTGAACATCTTCCTAAAATAAATCACACTGTTACACAGAAGATATTGGGTGAATACATCTGAACATGGATCCATTTAGCCACTTAGAAAATCTAATATATAGGTAGACGTCTGTAAAAATAAATGTAATCAAAGTGTGCTATGACTACCTCTATCGTGAAACTTCCAAATGAGGCTACTGGGGGACATCTCTTGAACAGCTCAAAGTATCCAAAATATTCACAGAAAACTGCAGGAACCAAAGGAACATCACAGAGTGGCCTCCATCCCTGGGGTGCTCCTCCTAGCTCTAACCTTTCACCTGTAGGAAGAAACCGAATAACTTCTTAGAATTTCATCTCTGTTTGGTGGGAAGGTGCTAGGCATAAATTTTATGATTTGAAGAGTAAAAGAGCACCATTATACTATACTACCTTATGTTATATTCTACTTACTTTTCCTAGTCTTTTTGATTTTTAATGGTGAGACTTTTGAAAGAATGTTAAATACACAGGTACTTTTCAGTTGAAAGGTTTAGAGAAGAAATACGTCTAATATTTTTGAGTTTCTGATAATTTCAGCAGTTAAGTTTATAAAGGTCGGCCAAATAGCTCAGTGGATTAAAGTGCCTCCAAGCAGGCTCAGGGGTTGGGGGTTTGATCCCTGGGCCTGCCAGTCCCATCCCAGGGGGGTATGCTGAGAGGGCAACTGAGACTGGGTGTGGTGGCTTGCGCCTGTAATCCCAGCTCTTGGGAGGCTATAAATGAGCGGATCACTATGAGTCCAATCTAGGGGTGAGACCCTGAACACCCTGTAGACCCTTCCCTA